TTCTTTTCGAGTTTCCTTTTTGAATCTTTTTCGAATTTTGTCGAGCCTCGAAGGCTCTCGGAATTTTGGACCTTCCTTCTGGAATTCGCGCTTTTTGCTTTTTCGCATTTGGATAGGAATTTAGGAATTTAGTAATTAAAATTTTTCCTGCCGCGCGGCGCCTTTTGTCTACGCGCCTCTTCATGCGGCTGCAACGGTACTCGGATTAGCAGGCGCCCTTAATCGCGTGTGTAGCTGTAATTTTGAGTGGGCGCCATTGTAACTGTATCTTTCTTCTTGTACTTCGTTTCTCCCGCCCTCCCCCTCTATCTTTTGCTGAAATTTTGGAAGGTCGCGGCTTGCATGCTCAGATCGGTGCGTGGAGAAGGGTTACGTCCCCCACACCGCGCCTCGATCATGCAGAATGCAGGCGCTCGCTCTCTAATCCTCACTCTAAAGTCCTGGTAATTCCGTATTCTTCGCGCATGCATGCATGCTAAAAATTTCGGCTGCGCGATTAGTCAACTCTCTTAACCCGTTATGGGAAGCTCGGGGTTGCGCGATCAGGAAGGGTCGGCACACGAGCGAAGTAAGAGGTGAGTAGAGCAGGAGTCGGGCGATCCGACGGGCTGGTGCCGAACGCGCGGGATTGACATGGGCCACGACGGACTGTGGGCACGGGCGAATCCGACGGGTGCGGGAGGACTAAGCGGGGTGACGACTTCGTGGGTTGGTGCGGGACGACGGACTGTCCGCATCGGAGAGAGAGAGAGAGAGAGAGAGAGAGTGCTGAGAGAGTTGATGGTTGGATTTGCGGCTTCGTTATTTCTTCCCTTTCTTTATCTGTGTATATAAATTTTGATTCCGGGCGATACGCCCCCGATTTTCGTCGGCTACATCTCTTTGTCTTGGCTTCGACCTTCCTCGATTATTTGAGTGTGTATCTCCCACTTTTTTTTCACACCTTCGGATGAACGTATGATGCATCTATGGATGTTCGAACTTTTGAATGAATGCGTGGATGTCTCACCCTTAGAAGTGCATGTATGGATAGGAGTTCGTCTCGTTTTCCTTTGATGGATGTTGCATGCATTTGATCTTTTCTGTTTGCATGAATGGATGTATGTCTTATCGGCATATAGGCAGTCGCATAACCATAGGCCTTGCGATTTTTTCCGTACTCGACACGTGTCACCCTCGTGATTGATTAAGCCGCGCTCAAACGCGCGATGACACGGAAAGGCCCTGGGGATTGAACTGTGCTGAACCCAAGCCAACTGATCGATCGACACGCCAGGCGGAATTCCGCGTTCACACACGCAAGTACAGCCAGTCTGGGCTGCTTACACGTGTCCACCCAGGAATCACCAGCGCCCAATGACAAGATAAAAGACGACTGGACTGACGAAGGATCGACTGAGCTTGACTTGTGTAACAATCTAACCCAGCGGGGACCTTTGCGGCCATATCCCGAATTCCCGTGTCAATCCGAACACGATCAAGTAAGCGCGGAAGAACTTAGGCGCGCGCTACTTAATGAACCCGACTGCCCGGATATTCCTAACGAGCCCCGTTCGCAGTATTTCATCTCCTCGGGGTTCGTCCGTATTTCAACTTCGTTCCCTCCATTCAAACTCGTCCTCCCGTATCATCAACTTCTAGTGGTGCCATGGAATCACATTGCCACGTAGTGGCCCCGAGCGTCGCGTCAAAGCCCGACGGCGAAATTGTCCCACCTGGAACCGGTTGCCACGTGGCACGACTAGAAATTCCCTGACAAACGACCACCATCTCGTCTAAAAACTCGACGACTTTCAATTTGCATTCATACCCCTAAGATTCCCCCACTTTCCCCAAAAATCCTTGGCACACCCCTTTTCGCACTTCCAGGCCCGCATCCGATCAGGAAGTCGCGCTGGGCGTGAGGTTGGTATCGGAGCCCGACACGTAGCTAGGGTCTTAGGATTAATAACCCGATAATTAGACGACCTGGCTAACCGAGGGTGACCTCGCCCTCGGAACGCGCCAAGACGCGACCCTATCGTCACCCGAAGTAGATCGGCTAACCGACGAGCAACCAATATGGCTGCCAATGTGCAGAACCCGATTCCGCCACAGAATGTTAATCCACCAAATCAACCCGCCCCACGTGCACGGGCTCCCATGACGCCGCCTGATCTCTATCTGTTTGATCCAGCTCACCACCTCGTAGGAGCATGGCTGGCCACGCTTAGAGCACAACAGTATACCAACAAGGAGGCACATATTAACATTCCCGCCCGACTAGGAGGGGACGCTCACCATTGGTTTAGTAGCTATGTATGGATCGATCTCCCGACCTTCGAACGAGATTTTTTGAATCGATTTGACTACGTTCACCCTGAGCAAGCACTATACATGATCAAGGATCGAGTGCAGAAACCTCTCGAATCCGTCACAGAGTATCGGAACCGGTTCTACCGAATGTTCGTGAAAATAGAGCGAAGCGAGCAAGTCGGAAGGGACCTGTTCATAGATGGGCTTCGCAGCCGAACGATAAGGACCGAGTTGTGGAAGCAATTTTCTCCCATTACTCACACGCTGCAACAAATCATGGCCGCTACGGAAGAAATGGAACGGAAGTTCGCAGCCAACTTCCTGGAAGGGGAAGATTACTCCTGAGATGGAGATTCGTCCGAACTTGCACGAGCAAAAGCTGAACAAGCTGCATTGCAGAACAAGTTTGAAAATATGGGGTTTGTGTCAAGACCTGTTACCTATATGGAACAGATAGGCCCGAACCGACTAACCTTGAGCGAGATCCCGAGTACCCCTAGTCCGACAATACCCGCCCCCATCCGGACGTTACCCCCGCCGCCGGTTGAAAGCTCGATAAGAACAAGTGAGTCCACTGCGATCCTTGAGCTGACCAAGACGCTAGTTAGCCTAATCCAAGAAAGCAAAAAGGAGCAACGAGAGCACAACGCTCGGCTGGAAGCCATGATGAGAAACATGCGCCCCATCGCGGTGTTCGCCCCTCCTATTCAGCAAGGACTGGCCTCGGCCCTTGCTCTCGGAGGAGCCGCAACCAATCTGAATGTCTGTTACGCCTGTCATCAGCCAGGGCACCTACCCCGTGATTGCCCCCACCAACCCCCGCAACCACGGATTGGGGTTGCACGAATGGCAGCGGCCCCTATCGCTAATGGACCAGGACGAGTTGGAGCATTAATGGAAGAAGTAG